AGGAATGTGTGGGCCCTGGAGGCTCATACTTATTAGAGCATTCTAGGCACAAATTCTAGAATGCCTTCTCAGGCCCCTACCAACCCACCAGCCAGGTGCCGAGCTGTGCCCTGGCTTCTCTCTCCCCATAGATCCCAGTCTCTTTATGACAAAGAGCTCTTGAGCCCAGGGTTTTTTTTTTGTTTTTTTTTTGGTGTGTGTGTGTGTGTGTGTGTGTGTGTGTGTGTGTGAATGAATGCAGGCACAAGTGTGTCATGGCATGCTCAAGGAGGTCAGGACAACCTGTTGGTCCTCCATCTTGTTTGAGGCAAGTTCTCTTTGCTGTTTCTGTCATATGTCAGGCTAGTTGGCCTGCATGTGCTGTTTCTCTGTTGTCATATGTCAGGTTAGCTGGCCTGCATGTGAGCTTCTGGGGATCCTCCTGTCTCTCTCTCCCATCTCCCTGTAGGAGTGCTAGGATTACAGATGCTTGTGTTACATGTCTGGCTTTTATGTGGGTTTTGGGCATTCGAACAGGTCCATATGCTTAGACAGCAAACGTTTTTAGCTAGTGAGCCATCTCCCAAGTCCCAGGGTTTCCTTTTGATTCAGATACAGCTTTCATGAAGCCCTCCCAGATCCCCATTCCTCAGTAAGACCTATACTTTCTCTCTGTAGGCCTGTGGTCCTTCCTCTCTCCCTCCCCACTGTCTGAGACACAAACAGCACTTCTGCTTGTTCATGTGCTGGTCTTCTCCACCCATCATAGATGGAGGGATCTGAGTGGGGCACTCTGACCCATCTTAATGCCCTCTGACCACAGCAGAGGCAGGGCCAGCAAATATTTATCGTGGGAAATTGGATAAATGAGCCTATAGTATCAGGGCTATGGGTCACCTGGACTCCTGCCATTTGCAGGAAACTTCCAGCTGGTCAAGGAGATTGCTGATGAAGACCCCAACCACGTGAACCTGGTCAATGGGGATGGTGCGACCCCACTGATGCTGGCAGCTGTCACAGGACAGTTGCCCCTGGTGCAGCTGCTGGTGGAAAAGCATGCCGATGTGGACAAGCAGGACAGCGTGCATGGCTGGACGGCCCTCATGCAGGCCACCTACCATGGGTCTGTGTCTCCCACTCCCTCCACTAGGCACTCTGGCCCAGAATGGGGGAGGGCTACGAGGACTTCAGGACCTGTAGAAAAGATGACAGAAGTGCATGCGCAGTTCAGCTTGCGCCTGTCCACATCCAGGTTTCCTGCTAGCTTGCCCTGTGGTTTCCAAGTGGGTATGGAGACACAGCAGGAGCTTCTTAGGCAAAAAGATACATACTGTTTCTCAAGTTTTGTTTTCAGTTGAAAGGTGTGATTGGTTCATTTGGAGTTTTCTCATGGAAGTTCAGAGATACCTCCATATGTGACCTTAAACAGTGAGAGTCATCCTGACCTCCTTTACATAACCGGATCATCCCAGCCAGGTTGGCTGTCACCTTCCTGCATACTCCTCTGGGGTCTTGTAGCTGCTAAGTGGTCTGCCTCCCCTTAGGGGCTGTCCCCTCTCCTTTCATTTGACCATATCCTGCTCTGATGTTGATTGTCTTACCTGTTGAGCCTCAGACTTCCTTGTCAAACTTTGATCCTTCCCCAAGCCTTCACAATAGGAGGAGGTCCAGTTGGCATGGTGACCGAATGTTTTGGGGCAGAAGCCCTGGCTTTCATTTTCATCTAGGGAGGAACTTTAGGACTGATTTAAAGCACACCTTTGCCTGGCTTGCAGAGAGTGGTGGGGAATGGTGGGCCGTGACCATTACCCATGCTCTGCTTAAAGACAAAGACCGAACACATGGTTAATGCCACCAGGCTTGTTACCTAGGAACAGAGCCATACTTTGGCTTTTACTTGGTGGATTAATTTTGTGTCACTCTAGCAGAATACCTGAGGCAGTTAACTTCTAAAGAATAAGGTTATTTTGGCTCATGATTCTAGATGTTGCAGTTAAGATTGAGCAGCTCCATGACTTCTAGCCTCTGGTGAGGACACTCATGGCAAAGGCTGGGAGCAAGTATCCAAACAGGGACTCACATCTCAATGTGGGTGCAGAGCCTGAGGTCGGGACCCATAATCCCCTTTGAGAGCACACAACAAATGACCAGTAGGCCTCCAGACGGCTCCACCTTTACTGGTCCACAGCACCTCCCTGTAGCCAGGCCTGTAGCACATGGACCATTAGAGGACTCTCAATATCCATGCAAGAGCAGGAAGTCTAATTGGCTTGTCTTTCCTCCCCAGAAATAAGGAAATTGTCAAATATCTGCTAAACCAAGGGGCTGATGTTGCTCTTCGGGCTAAAAACGGGTATACAGCCTTTGACCTGGTGATGCTGCTCAACGATCCTGGTGGGTGAGCCTGAGAATGGTGCTCGGTCTGCATACCCTTCCTCTGGGGATCAGGCCAGTGCCCCCCAGTGACCACTGAAGGCTGCTGATTTGTAGGGGAAACCAGTCTCAAGTGCCAAAGGCACAGAGCTTGTGATAATCTATCCTAGCCTTCCTCCAGCACCAGGCATCAAGAAGTAGAGTTGCAGGGAGGGAAGGCAAACGGGGCATGTGAGTTTGCAGGCTGTTGGGTGCTAGAGTCATGTCTGTGGTCACAGCCTCTGTGTGTGTGTGTGTGTGTGTGTGTGTGTGTGTGTAGGTCAGAGGACAGCTTGCAGGAGTCAGTTCTCTCCTCCCACCATGTGGGCTCTGAAGATTGAAATTCGGTTGGCCAGGCATCAAGAAGTGGAGTTGCAGGGAGGGAAGGCAAACGGGGCATGTGACTTTGCAGGCTGTTGGGTGCTAGAGTCATGTCTGTGGTCACAGCCTCTGTGTGTGTGTGTGTGTGTGTGTGTGTAGGTCAGAGGACAGCTTGCAGGAGTCAGTTCTCTCCTTCCACCATGTGGGTTCTGAAGATTGAAATTAGGTTGTAAGGCTTGAGGATAGGCACATTTTCCTGATGATCCACCTTTATACCCCAGCCTCTCCCCTCTCTTTCCCTCCCCTCTCCTCCTCTCCTTTTGTTTCTTTTTTTTTTTTTTCTTTTCGAGATACAGTCCCACTATATAACCCAGCCTCCTGAGTACTGAGATCATGGGCATGTGCCATGCCTATTCTTAGTGGGTTTTTCAGTGAAGGTTTTGTTCACCCCCTCTCCTCCCCAACACATGCTTATTATTGAATGCTTGGAGAGCTAAAAAGGTGACAGTTATCATGAAGGAAAGGCAATGTTCCTAGTTGGTATTTCCTCTGCCTTTTTTTTTTGGTTTTTTTTTTTTGTTGTTGTTGTTGTTTTTGGTCTTTTTTGAGACAGGGTCTCCCTGTAGCCCCAGCTGTCCTAGAACTCACTATGTAGACCAGGCTGGCCTTGAACTTAGAGATCTCCCTACCTCTGCCTCCCGAGTGCTGGGATTAAAGGCATGTACCACCACGCCGGGTCCTTCCTCTGCCTTTTTAATGTCTACTATATTCTCAAGGGCATTGGAAAGGATGGGCAGGCAGGATGAGCAAAAGAGGGTCACAGGTGAAGTCCAGGTCCCCAGCACAGGGCTCCCAGGTGGGGGTGACCCATGCCTCCCTTGAGGCATGTGAATGCATTCATCAGCCCGGAAACCTGAGTTTTCTTCTCAGTCTTGTCCAGCACTTCTTTTAAAAACAACCTAATTGCATTCATAATAACTAAAAGTGCATTTGAAACCTCTCTTAAGCATGTACTGAATTCCAGGTGCTTTGAGCTCTCCAGAGGAATTCCCTTGAATCCTCAAGGTGCATTTTGTGGTGGGTGTTAACATCACCCCCTAGTAAAACAAACACAGACAGGCTGTGTAATTTACCTTCTGTTACCCAACCAGGGTTGGGCAGGGGCAGTTTCATCCACTGCAATCTGACCGCTGAGCCTTTGCTTTTCAATAGGTCTGTCCCCTGTCTTAAAGGAGGGAGA